AGGTGGAAGGACATGTCGCCAACGCTGAGACGCCGACACTAGTGAGAGGCGACATGGGACACAGACTGCAGGGGAGGCTCGGGCTGGCTCAGGGAAGGGGCAGGACCGATCCGAGCAACACGGAGGAAGAACTCGTTGGCAGCCACGGTATCCGTGCAGCAGGATGGCTGGTCAGGCTGAGGGGCCGCATGCCGGGCACCATGTGGACAAGAATGTCCTGTGCCAGCCAGGCAGGGAGCCGGTCGGCAGGAAGCAGGCGAGCCGGGGCCCAGCCGTTCAGCCGCTCCACCGCTCCCTCCTCACACGCTCCAGCTCATCTTGTGTTCTAGCAACCTCTTCTCTAGACACGCTTTTCCTTCGCAGCTCTGACGGGCTGCCACACCCATCCTGGCCTCAGTGTGGGCCTTGAGTTCCTTCTCTGTTAGTAGAGACGGCGTCTCTGTGTTACCTAGCCTGGCTTTGAACTTGCAATCCTGCTGCAGCATCTCCCGCAGCTGGGAACCCAGGGCTGTGCCACCACGCCAGGCAGCAGTACTCAGCTGTGGTCTGCTCCTTGTCCTCCTTACTCCTCAGCTGCCATGGCTCTGCTCACTCAGGTGATTTACTACTCCCACTGTGTGTTGGGAGGGAGGGGACAGCCGCTTGTGCTCGGCCTGCCATCCGGAACCAGAGCTTCATTCTTCTCTAAATTATTTCTTGCCTCTTTTTTTTGCCACCCCCCCCCCCGGCATGTGCACTCTCCAGAGAGAGAGAAAGAGAGAGGGAGAGAGGTAAAGTAAAATATCACCCCTCCCCTAGGGGGAGAATGGCCACACCACAATCCACACGAACACATATGCCCAGTGTGATTTTCAAGTCGCTGAGTACAGGGCTCAAACTGTGGTCGACCACATGGGAGTCCAGCACCTTAACCACCAGCCACCGGATGGTCCCTCTTTTTCTTTCTGAATGTGCACCACCTTCTTTTATTAAGAGAGAGATTTTTACTAGAGAGCACATGTGCTCGCCAGAGAGACAGAACGCAAGAAATCCTCCCCCAGAGGGGCCGTGCCTTCTCCATTCTCCTCTCAGGATCTTGGGGAGACACACACAGGCGTCTGGAGTGAGTTTTAAGCTGACAAGTCAGGGTCTTGAACCGTGGTCGACTCCGTCAGAGTCCAGCATTGTAACCATTACGCCATCTGCTGGTCCCACAGTTGTTTATTAGTATGTTGTTAACTACTTAAAACTCTGGAAACGAGTTTTTTGTGTTTTGCTTTTCACAAAACACACATCACAGTGTGAACACACAGTAGGTATTCGGTAAGTGTTTAGGGGCTGGCCGGTGGCGTGGTGGTGAAGGGCACTGGACCCCCAAATGTCTGACCGCACTTAAGAGTCCTGGACCTGGTGGCTTGCTTTCTCACTTTCTCTCTGTGTCCCTCTCTGATCAAATTAAAATAAATAAAAAGCAATTCTTTAAAAAAGGTGTCTGTAACTGATTAACTCTTCTGTTCAAAGATGATAATGGCATATGCGCGCTCGTATATAGTTTTTCCCTTCGGAAAACAGTAGAAAGACCATCTCTGAATTGGAAACGGAATTGTGGGAAGTTCCCTCTCAGACAGAAGAGTGCTAACTCTTCTGCACTAAGGAAAAACTGAAGTAACTGAGCATAAATACTATCTGCTGAAAGCAATGGTGACGGATAGTGTTACTGGTTGAAGCAACTGAGGAAAAACTGAAGTAACTGAGCATAAATACTACCTGCTGAGAGCAATGGTGACAGATAGTGTTACTGGTTGAAGCAACTGGGGCAGGAATGGGTTGAGGAAAAGCAAAGTAGCAAAATGGAATTCAAAACTAGACTTTGTAGTCCAGCGTTTCTATGGTGTCATCTTCAATGAGAGCAAGAAGCCAGGGCCGGCAGATGGCATGGTGGAGATGGCTGGACCCCATGTGGCGGACTGCACGGTTCTAATCCCAGACACTGGCTTGAAAATCACCCTGGGCACGTGTGTGCCCAAAATCCTGAGAAGAGAATGGAGAAGGGACTGTGGCATGGCCATCTCCCCAAGGGGTGTTCTCTCTCTCTCTCTGGCAAGCACATGTAGCCTATAGCACAAACTAAACCACCACCAAAACAAGTCCAGGGGTAGGACAGGAACAAATGGATTGGAAACGCTAAGCTGCCGGTAGGCCTAAGGACAGCTTACCAAACACCATCGCCTTCTGGCTGTGTGGGAGGCGTCTCCTTCCCTGACCCATGAAGCTGGCGGTAGCCAGTGTGACTTCCTTTGGCTAAAGAAACGCGAGAGGAACGCCACTTCCAGGCACCAGCTGTAAGAGCCCATGTGGTATTTGCTGTGTCTGCTTTTGGTGTCAGTAATCGTGGAAGCACGTGGTTTTCTATACTTCCCAATTCCTCAATGCTGCTAATGAAGTTAGGCCTGTGTGAGCCAGCAATTAGACCTATTTTGTTTAACCTCCTGAGATTGGGGCTTTATCTTTCAGTATAACCTAGTCCGGGGGCACACAAAATACAACCTGCCAGCCATCTGCCTGCTTTGCTTTATTGGAACACAGCCACGTGTCCTTTCTGTATTATCTACGGCTACCACCGAGTTAGGCAGTTGAAATAGATTCCATGGCCTGCAGATCTAAACCATGTACTATTACCCTTTAAGAAAAGTTTGCTTAGAAACCAGTATGGAGTTTCTCAAAAAACGAAACATTCAGGCCAGCCAGTGGCCTGATGGTTCAGGCAGCTGGATCCCACGCCGCTGTGCAGTTTGTCCCAGACCACTAGCCTGAAGAGCACACCAAGCACATGTGCGTGTGCGCCCGAAATCCCAACAGGAGAATGGAGATGGGATTGCAGTGCGCATCCCCTTTGGGGAGTGCTTTCTCTCTTTGTAGAAAATTATTAAAAAAGAAAAGAAAAAAAAAGCTAGTCACAAAAGACCACTTCCATTTGAATGAGAGGAAGATGGGTTGATGGGTTATGGTTTCTTTTGGGGTAATAAATGATGATTGCATGACTCTTTAAATAGATTAAGAACTACTGCCTGAACATTTGAACTAGGAAAGAGTATGGTACGTGAATTTTATTTCGATAAAACTCCTATTTAAACAAGTCCTTCCAGGAAGATGATCGATGTGAATCAGGGCGAGGTCAGGCACACATGAGCCAGGGTGATATATATATCTTGATATATCTCTTGTTTTCAACAAAAGCCACGAAGTACGTGAAATCTTCAGTTTCATCCAGACTTCCGTTAGCGTGTGATTGTGAAAAGAAGCCAGCGAACCACTCGCGAGGCGCAGGCTGTATCTTCCAAGGTAGGAATAACGTGGAAAGCTCGGGAATCACATCCTTCGGTCCTGACGATTTACGTCCAAGGGCAGGTCCCGGTTACTATTTCCAGGGTACAACAAACCGTCCTCTGATTTCACAAAGCGCAACGCTGTGGCCGGGTGGCGGCCCGGGCTGACGCTTACATAACGCGTTTCTCCCCGCGCGGGCGCCCAGAAGCCGGCGCGCTGTGCCAGGACGAGTGACTCGGCGGCGAGGGCGGCTCCGCGCTCAGCGTCGGGGACGGGAGCCACGCGCAGGCC